TTTTTTTAATCCATGTATTGTATAATGTAATAAATTAAAAAATATACTAATCAACATAAGAAAAAATAATGAGAAAGTCAAAGAAGACAAGGGCAAAAGCGTCACTTTGTTTGAACCAACTTTTGTGGACTTTAGGGGATTTATTTTCGCAATAATTTAATCAAATCCAATAATGTCCAAATCTATATAAATAAAATGATTCCCCTGTCCGAGTGTAAACAAGGTACAAATGAATTATAGCAAAAATCCAAAGTAGTTCACAGCCAATTTCTCTCTTGTCGCCTTCGTAGATTAGAGCAGTTGGGAGATTTTTATACTTCCTCCCAAACCTCGCTCTTTCAAAATTCTAGCCAAATTTTCTCTGAAAATTGTACATGATCATACAACTTTGAATACGGATTCGAAAATGGCGAAACTTACATGGAGATCGATCATCCCGAGTTGTTCAAGGGGTGTTTACCATGAGAAACTGGCGGCGAAGAAGCCCAAGAAGGAGGTGAAAAAGCAGAGTTCGTTCAGCCGGCTAGCAATGTTGGATCTGAGCAACCCGAGCACAATTATGTCAGAGGATCTCTCGATCTCACTTGCCGGGTCAAACCTCCACGTCTTTACGCTGGTGGAGCTTAGGGTGATAACCCAGAATTACTCGTCCAGTAATGTCCTCGGCGAAGGAGGGTTTGGTAGAGTGCACAAGGGGTTCATTGATGACAAGCTCCGGCCAGGGTTGCCGGCTCAGCCGGTGGCTGTTAAGGTCTTGGATTTGGAAGGATTGCAAGGACACAGGGAATGGCTGGTAAATACTCAAGTTTCAAAACAATTTTATAATTACACAATTGATAATTTTTTTATTAATCAACAAAAGAAATTTTATTAGTAGCATACAAGGAGTACTTCTACATATTTATCTTACAATGTTATATGAATCTCAGGGATATACAACTAATTCATCCAATTGATTAAGTCAATTTCAACTTAATGTCTCACTGGTTTTTTTTAATAGACTGTACTGATTTTTCTCGGGCAATTGCGGCATCCTCACCTGGTGAAATTGATTGGATATTGCTGTGAAGCCGAACATAGAGTTCTGGTATATGAATATATGCCCAAAGGAAGTTTGGAGAATCAGCTTTTCAGAAGTAATCTTACCTTCATTAGCCCCATTCTGTTTATTTTTTTAATTTCTTCCCAGGAATATATATATATATATATATATCTTGATCTAACATTGAAATGTCATGTAAATTCAGGGTATGCAGTGACACTGCCGTGGACAACAAGAATGAAAATCGCATTCGGAGTAGCAAAAGGCCTGGAGTTTCTACATGAATCAGAAAACCCTGTCATATACCGGGATTTTAAGGCTTCAAATATCCTGTTAGACTCTGTAAGTAACATGTTTGTGTTCATGATTAAGTACTTTAACTTCTTCTTATGAAGACTAATGTCAATTTCCATTGTTTAATTCTCCAGGATTACACAGCAAAACTATCAGATTTCGGTCTAGCAAAAGACGGTCCAGAAGGAGATGACACACATGTTTCTACTCGAGTTATGGGTACAGAGGGTTACGCTGCTCCAGAGTACATCATGACTGGTATGACAAGTTGATTATATTTTTGAAATGTATTTGGGTATATGAATTTGGTGAGAGAGATAAAATTAACTTAATTTTTATCTGTTTTTTTCAGGGCATTTGACGACTATGAGTGATGTGTATAGTTTTGGAGTGGTGCTTTTGGAGCTTCTAACAGGAAGGAGGTCGGTGGAGAAGAAGCGTCCTCAGAAAGAACAGAACCTGGTAGAGTGGACAAGGCCAATGCTAAATGATCCCCGGAAACTACAGCGGATAATGGATCCTAGACTTGAAGGGCAGTACTCTGAATCAGGGGCACGAAAGGCAGCGGCACTGGCTTACCGATGCGTGAGTCACAGGGCTAAGCACAGACCTACAATGAGTACTGTGGTGAAGATACTGGAGCCCCTCCAGGAATGTGATGACATTCCCATTGGAACATTTGTCTATGTAGTTCCCATGGAGAGTGACATCAAGAAGGAGAATGAAGGGGAATGTGAAACTAGAAGGAAGTGAAAAAGGAGACCAGCCACCACAGCCATCACCGCCAGAAATCACCAGGGTCTCCACCTCAGAACGGGTTGAACTCTCTATTGCAGCACAAAGACAAGGGAGCATAGAGTACTTAGTAAAACATAGTACTTCAGCCAGAAACTGCAAGTCCCAGATTGTAAATAGGCATCGATTATATATTGATTGCAAATTGTGGCCTG